AAAAAAAAGGAAAAATAAGTTAAAGCTACTTAGCTGTTCTGTATAACCAAATTAACACAAATGTAAATTATTTAATACTTTCACCACTTGTCCTTGAATAGAGATTCACAAATAATATCAAATTTGCTTGTTCTCCAGATATGGATCCACTCTATTCAGAATAGCTGTGTCTGCTAATCCTTTAGCCATGGCAGCAGCAGGGGCCATGGAGCTGGAGGCATCTGTACATGACTGAGAGTCTACTGCATTGACTGAATGACTGCAGATTGCTGTTGTGAGGAAATTTTATAAATAATTAACATTTTTCTACTTAATTTTACACCTCATGCGGTGGAATATATACATTTTAATAGCAACTATAATTAATTGCAACTATAAAAATTATCTCATCTTCAAAGGCAGTACCTGGCAAAAGTTTTTCACAAACATTTTCCTCTGCCAGCTTCCTAGAGCTCTATCAGCCAAGATAAAGAAGATAAAGATCACATTGAAGAGCAACTCCAGTAATTTACATCATTACAAATTGAATCTTCTTGTAGACAGCCACTTGCTAAAAAGCAGCTCACAGGACAAGTTTTGAAAGAAAGCAACTGAGACAAATGCATTTAGGACAGAAGTTGAACCAGAAACTTCTACTGAGCAAGCAGTGCCTTTTCTACACAATCCCTGCAAAGATGAGTATTTAGGAGCCTCCTCCTTCATTAAATCTTTCATTTACCTCTATAATAAATCAAGAATATGATGCTATCTGGATGGCAATAGTGTCAGTGGTCCAGACAAGGAGCCAGGAAATGTTRGCAGGTAGTTTGCCTTCAGCTTTCTAGAGACACCCTAGGAAAAAACATTTAGCAAAGAAGCAGGTGRGAAAACTTTATGCTATGGGGATTACGAACATCACTCAAAGCAATAGCTACATTTATTCTTCTGGGAACGAACAGAACAAAGCTAAACCTTCCCTTTAGAACACAACCAACATCAAGTGCCCAGAACATTTATATCAAGATTTAGTTTCCTGTTTGATTCTTTGCCTACTGGAACTCAATAAGTCCTTTGCCTCCAGAAATGCCCTTCCCAGACAGATCAAGAAAATTACAGTCTGCACTGTAATGGGGAACAGAAAGACAGCACCCTTCTGCTACAGACAGGAAAAAGAGATTATATCATGGGAGAAACAGAAGGAAAGCAAATCCTTTGGGATGTTAATAATACATTAACTCTGTCTATATATCCTATATTCTCTGTCTAGCTTAGAACTGCATTGCATTTGGCTTAAAGATGAACATTGAAGTGTATCTTACATACAAATGATGAGGGCTGTTTTTAAACTTTGAGGATATGTTTGTGTTATTTGCATTCTGAGCACAKCAAGAATTAGACCWCTRAAGGAATTTGGCCTGGAAACACCTSGCTTCTGGRCCTTGATTTGGCTTAACAGCAAMGAGAAACACAGCAGGTTCAATGCAGATCTCACTGATTCAAAAGTCGATCCATACAGGGACATGAACCTAGGCACCTCAAGATTTAAAAAAAAAAAAAGCACTAAGGCTTGGGTATAAGCAGAATAAAGTAGTATCCATCACAAAAATTTCAGAACTGTAATTTTGGGCATTTAGTGTCTAAATTTTGCCTTGCATGAAAAAACCCTTCTGTATCTTACTTCTGTCTTGTTTCTGTCTGAAACTTCATACCTACTTTCATAGGAGCATGTGAAGTTTCACTGCAAARTTATTATAAACCAGGTCTCAGTGAATCCTGCTTATCATTCCTTCTGCATTGATACTGTCCTTGGCAAATGGCCTCAGTCAGTGATGCAGAGAAGTGCACGTTAGTATTCAGCTAATGTGCAGTTGGGACCCCTAGTGACTCATGCTRTTATAAAATTCACTGAGATCACCTAAAGGAAAGAAACAAGATTATTACAAAAACTCAGTATTCTCCCAGTCTTATAACGCTTGTGCTCTGAAGACAGAATTCCCTGTTAGGTACTCTGAAATGTCTAATGAAGGTTGTTGTAGCAATTTTGATTGTATTTGCAGTTGAGGAGTCTCTAGCTGCTCTAATTGTTCCACCTTTTTGGAAAAGAGACGAAGGCCAAAAAAAGGTCAAAAGGAAATTAACAGATAAGCAAAAATTAGAGATGAAGATTCTACATTTAGCYCAGTCAGAATTACAGAGTATTTTTAGGTCAGGGTTAATAGCAAGTGTCTGAGCTCTCTACCCAGAAACTGCTGTAGATGATGGATTAGGTTTACTGGCATATTTGAATAGAATGRAACTGCAAGGATTCCTGGTAATATTTATCTCAAAGATCAGCATTTTCTTATTTCTAATTAATCTAAAGCCAACTTGACGTGTTGTCATAGCTTTTAATGGAATTTGAGGAGTGATATTCAGAAAGAGGAATCAGGGAAACCAGAATCAGGCAAGACATTTTCTAAAAGGAAATGGTGTATAGTGGTGCCATTTATTTACACCATAAAGCTTTTCCCTCCTTCACACATAATCCCTGGTTTTCCAGAKATTTCATTTTGATATTTTTTCCAACTGAATCATATGCATCAGTGAACACTCTTTATCCAAACCCTGTATCAATGATAGAAAGTGTGGACTAAACATATCTTATGGAGAAAACACCCATGCAATTCCAATGTATGATGGCATACAAAAAAGGTACAGGTTGCTAAAATAAATATAGCACCTACTGAACACCATCAACAGCCACTTTTCTCAGGAGAGAAGAAAAAAAGTTATGATTAGTTGAAAAGTTAGACAGGTGTGGCCAGAYAGAGTATTAAAAAACATAATTTAAAATCTTAATTGATGTGGTAACAAACTTAATTATTTGTATAAACAATTAACAGAATAGTAAKGAGGGCTCAGCTGTTCATGTACATTTTTTGATCCTTGTGTCGGGAATAGTTTCTGTTTTCAGTCCTGCATTGGTATCCTGTCCTGGACTTTTATTCCAATGTCACTCAGAGTCAGAATGTTACTCAATACAAATAAGCATAAAAGCACATTACATAAAATACTTTGCAGTTTGAAGACAAAGAAGGAAGAACATATACAGGTGTGGCAGAAATKCCTCCCATCTAAGGCATTGAAAGAGATAAAGCTGGAACTTTTGTAAAGTATTTGAATAGGATTTACTTCTACAATTAAAAACCTTTCCTTATAAAAACACRACTGCAAATGCAGCATGAGAAAATCAACTTTTGAAAATTCAGACATAATGGAAGTATATAATAGATGACACAAAATTGCTGCATAACAAAAATCCACATCCTTGTTACCTTTTGGATTTTGAATATTCTCACATTTTCCTGGTCAGTATATTTAAYTGCTTTATTTTTATACAATTCATAGTTATTATTCCAAAATACTTTGTTTGATTTTAACACTAAATAAAATTAATACAGCATTTCCCTGATTTAATCTTCTTGTCTCATACAATATATAAAATTTAATTTACCTCTATAAGTAATGCTTGGTAGGAAATTTGTCCATTAGTTATACCTTTCAACATTTTTCTTGCAGGTAATGGAATATATAAAAATAAATCACATTTCACTCAGGCATTTTATGGTATGCCATCAGCAAATGTCCAAAGAAACACAAGCCTAAAGCATTAAAAGTGAAACCATTAACTTGCAGATCAATCATCAAAACTTCTCATTTAAAAAATTATTTGTAAAGGTCTAATGAACTGCTAGGGATAAGAACTGAAAATACCACATATTATATAATTCCGCATCTCTAAAGGAAATACAACCTTATTTCAGTTGGACACAAAAATAAATTCCACTAGTCCCATTAATAATTTTAAATCATAGAAAGGGTAACTATAACAACGCATGAGCAAATGCCKTCTTTCATTTTCATTGCCTAGGGAAAAATGTGAATGTATTTCCCCCACTTAAATGAAATGCGTGTCTGAACTGAGATTAAAATTAGAAATTCATTCCTGAATGCATAAATATGGCAGTACTGTACTTAATTTCTGATGATTGTAACTGTCATGCTTGAGTTGGCCTTTCATTCTCTAAAATAGACTTCTTTATGTATCACACYCCATTACTGAATACTGTTAATCTTCAATATATTTCACACATTAAGCAAAAAAAAAATTAATTTCTTGTGGGTTTTACTTCAGGAAAGTATATCTGAGACAGTCATTCTGGTCTAACATTTTTCGCCACAAACTGCACAAACAAACCAACCCACCAAAAAGAAAACTAATTTTGTGGAAATTTAAACCATGTCCCCTGACATGGGAGCTAACATAGGCTTTCACTCAGAAATACTTAAGAAGGAGACAATTTAAACTCAGGGCTTTTTTTTTTTTTTTTTTTTTTTTTTTTTTTTTTTTTTTTTTTTTTTTTTTTTTTTTTTTTTTTTTTTTTTTTTTTGTGGGCTCTTTTTCTTTAGGTACCCATATGTTGCCATCCCCCTCTGTCCCCCAAATGAGTAGAAGACCGTACAATGGACTTTGCTAGAGACTACAAGCTACCTTTTGTTATTGCCAGGCTGGGTGAGACAACAACAGACTCAATATAATTTSTTCAGTATTAGAATAATCTTGAACTTAAAGGATTTCTGTCATCCCCTATCGTTCTAGTTAGAATTAACTTACTACATTTTCCAAAAGCTATACATATTCATCATATATGGCAAGTAAAGTGGGAGCGGAGTGTACTCTCTCAACAATTCTAWTGACCAAATCTTTGGAGTTTCTGAAATATTCAATTAGGCTCATTCTCAGAAATTAGGAACATTGGAGAAGTCATGCCACTTCTGGAAAAAGAAATCTGAAATGTWATTTGACAATGATGTAGCCACCATGTACTATTAACAGTTTTAAAGAAAAAAAAAAAATCACTTTTTTTTCTTAGGTAAATACTGTTAATTATCTTTTGCATCTCTTCCTCTTCCACTAAAAGGTTTGTTTACTTTGGCATTTCTGTGGATTGAGGGCTTTACASAGCAAATGAAAAACATGCAACAAGTGGAACAAGGTTTATTCAGAGCAAAGATGATGGCTTCATTTTTCCTTTAATATCAAACTGAGTATTTCAGGTAAAGTAGGAAAACTATATATTTCCCCTAATTTCAGATCTTATTCTGAAGCCTTGGTTAAAGACCTTGAGGAGAAGAACAGTAAATTTAAAAGAAATGGAATGAAGATTTTACAAACTGGTTCACTTGGAGAGATATGTTTCTTACTTTTTAAGAAATATTACAAAAAAAAAAAATCAAAACAATAGCATGACAAGTGGTTTTTAAATTTCTATTTTTATTGTCAGGCAAAGAAATTCTCAGTACATATCTAACACAGATTATTGAAATTGCATTAAAAAGCCAAGTTAGTGAGTTATGATCACTCTATTACAATATCCAGGAAAACCTTTCTTCTACTGTACTCAGAATTACTATGCAGATAATAGTGTTGGCATGTTCATAGCTACCATCTGAMACCACACTTACTCAAAATCCTCACAAGGTTACTCAATCTAATCACATAGGGGTGTGAACTACAGCGATACTACTGAAATGCTATTGCTACATAGCTGAAGATTCTGCAGCACCAGCAAACTTACCTTACCACAAAACCCCACTAACATGTGCTACTAAAACTAACGGACTACCAGAGGAATATAATGGAGGGACGGCAGGTGTTGTCAATAAATCCAAAATTCTTGTGAGCAAATACAAAATTCAGGGATAGTTTCATTATGACATTGTTTGATTTCAACTTCTAAAACACCTGGCAAAGGTTAGCGTTGGAACAATACCAGTTGTCTGAAGAAGATGCAGCACATTCCATTCACCTTCTTAACCCTTGGCTGGGAGGGCGGGGTCTTGGAAAGAAAGGATAAAATCATACTTCCTTCTCTAACTTCAGGTCTAGTGACATAAGTTTCCTAACGATACTGAATCAAAAAGTCACAGATGTGAAATTAGAGCTTCTCCCAAGAACCTAAATGCGTGCAAGGTGTATGASAAAATTTTTGGAATATGCTATATGAAAAACAGTCAGTTATGAGAGCCAATCAATTATATTAATTATTCATCAAGTTTTGCAGGCTTTCTAATCTGACCTTTGTATTCCTGAGTCTGGCACTRTAATACATCAAGAGTGGTAAAACTAAGTTTATTATTAAACAAAGAAGAAAATGAAAAACAAAATTCAGTTTACCTATAATGATTTAGTCACTCTGTGACCTCCAAAGTTGGCAGTACTTCACAACCAGGGAAACAGAGTGCACACAGAACTGACCTGAGCCACAACAATGCTGGGGTTCAGGGGCCCAGAGTCTGTTAGRCGAGACATAAGGCACGTCTGCTGTCACCTCTGCAGCATCCCAAGGACAGCACATTTCACACAGAGAGAGAGATTTGCTACGAGTGCTGTAGCCCAGGGAGATCTGAGAAATGTGCATTGCAAGAAATCAAGAGAAGAGAGAGTGAAAGCACATAATTTATAGAACAGCTTGACTGAGCAAGTAAGTCTGATTACCTGCACTGTGCAACTATTGTCACGACGGCTCCGCGGGGAGCACATTCATTTGTCACTTCCACCCTACCGTATCTCAGGACGTACAAATGTTAGATCGAATGYATCCCTCAGCAGCTGGCTCACAGCCTGCTTTCTGGCACATCTCAAATCCGTAGATAAATGCTCAGGAGCAGCACGCTGCTCTTCATCACCCTATTTCTAACCTCTTGCGAAGCATCTGCACACAGGCTTTATTTCGCTGGCTTTGGGTTTCCCCCGGTTACTCTCCGTTACAGATATTTGCGTTTGTAATAGCTGAGAGGGCTCCTGCCGGGACTCCAGGGCCTGCGGGACCCTGCCAGGCTCAGGGTGCTGCCGGAGGGGCACGACCCGGAGCGGGTCAGGGTGGCATAGGCCGAGAGAGAGGTGGAGCGGGGAAGGGTGCTGTAGCCAGAACGGGACAAGTTGTAGGAAGAGCGGTTCAGGGCGCTGTACGGAGGGCGTGTGAGTGTGCCGTAGGTGGCACGGGTCGAGGAGAAGGCCGAGCGCCCCTCGGGGCTCCACAACGATCGAGAAGCAAAGCGACTGGTGGTGTCGTAGGAAGGGCTCCACTGAGAGCCGCTCAGCGAGCGAGCCCCAAAGGTGCCCACCAGCTGGGAGATGGGGCGGGGAGTGGGGGCACAGAGGGAGCGGGCCGTGGCTCCGGCCAGGGGCCGCGGGGACGGGGACCGCGGCAGGCAGGCGGCAGCTGACGAGTCCGAGGGCTGAGCGGCCGGCGAGCTGGCAGGGCGGGCCCCCAGGGCCACCAGCGAGGTGGAGGTGGGCGAGCACAGCGAGGGGGCCGCGGGGCGGGGGGTTGGCGAGCACAGCGAGTGGGACGCCGGGGGCCCCACGGGCCGGGSGGCTGGCGAGGACAGCGAGCGGGATGCCGAGGCGCCGGCCACCTGCAGCACCGTCGGKGTGCCGCTGCGCTCGGCAGCGCGGGGCGCCGGGGAGGCCGCTGGTGAGCTCACGCCGCGGACTACCGCCGCACTSAGGGGCTGGCAGGACAGCGGGGCCGCAGGGCCGCATGGAGGCTGCGTGGTGGCAGACGGGGTGGAGCCGCAAACCACGTGCGAGATGGAGGCGCCGGGCACCGAAAGGGGAGTGGGAGGTTGCATGGGGTTACCGATGGTGTGGACTGCCGGAGAGCAGCACATGGCGTAGGATGGAGGGGCAGACATAGGGACTGCCTGGGCTGCCCCGCTGGGATTGGGGCCAGCCATGAAATGGGATGCAGGRGCAGACATAGGGACTGCCTGGACTGCCCCGCTGGGACTGGGGCCAGCCATGATGTGGGTCAGCAACGCACTCACCGCATTATTCGCGGGGACAGAGACGGAATAGGACATGGGGCCCCCTCCGCCTCCAGAYGGCTGTGTGGCAGCAGCACCTGTCTCAAACACCATGTGAGGCATAGGGGTGCAAACGGGGTTGGACGCTGGGGCTGGCATGGAGCCRTACACGGCTGGAGGCATTGGAGCACACGTAGCAGGAGGCACAGTCTCGTATATGACACGGAAGCCAGGATCGCATCCCATCTCAAACCCAGGATTGACGCTCGGATTGAAGCCTTGGTTGCAGATGGAGTTGCACAAGGGATGGCCCGCAGGGAGGTACACGAAGTCGTACACAGGCTGCCCCCCTGCATTGCAGTTTGGGTTGCACACTGGGATACATATGTATTCACACATGGAATTCGATGCGGGGTCTGCCACGGGGACAGGCCCAGAGCCATTCATGGGGTGGGAGACGTTCTCACACATTGGGAGGGACCCGTTCTGGCTGACGGGCAGGGCACAGTTCTGGCTGACAGTCAGGACACCGTTCTGACCGACGGGCAGGGCACCGTTCTGGCTGACAGGCAAGACACCATTCTGGCCGACAGGCAGGACACCGTTCTGGTCTGCGGAGCAGTACACTTCAGCYTTGGCACAGCCCTTGCAGAAGGCAAACTTGTGGCACCCAAGGTTGGCCAGGAGCCGGTGCCTGCCAAGCCTATAAGGTGTGAACTCCACGATGGTTCGTGCCTGTTGGTTGGATGCCAGYGTTCCCAAACTGGAGCGAGAGAAGGAAAAGAATTAGCACCCTGGGTAGTTCAGAGACTTGAGCGCCACAAGATGAGCGCATGAAATTAAATTTGATTTGCAATGACACATTTTGGAGACAAACTGTTATGACAAATTCCGGTCTTCTTCCAAGAAAATATTTTCTCTATTGTGAAAAGCATGATAAAAACTTCTGTCCCAAGAGAAGATTTGGAAGACTCACAGTTAATTCTGTAACTGGAGTTGGAAAATAATTTGTGGTACTGTCTTGAATTCTTAAAAAATGTGGCACCCTTCTGCCTCAAAAGTGTGTTTATTGCTTACCATTTCCAGCAGTTCGATAGGGCAGCTTTGTGGAATCCAGTTCATTATAATTCAGCGAGAACAATTCCTAATTTCTTCCCCTCAAAACTAGTCATACTTTGTCAGTTCTTCTTGTCATGAAGAGAAGCAATGCATATTAATGAACARCTACTTTTCCTAGAATGTTACAGCATCCTGGAAGTTTTCAGTTTCCTGTGATTAACGTGCTATGAGCTTAGAATGCATATTGCTATTTCTCACTGTCATTCTCTAATTGTTCCTCTATGTGGTTAGTGSCGGTTCATGAATATTTAGAGGAATTTTATTATAAACTCAATAGGATTGTAAGGAATGGAGGACCCAGCTAGTACTTCTTGTAAAGACAAGAGTGCAGACAGACATTTGATGCATCCACTTAAATTAAGTCTTGAGAAAAATGAAGCAATATCTTTCCAGGTTTAAATGATCATCAGTTTCAAGAGAAGTGAGGCTCTTAATGGAATCTCAAAGTTATAAGAGGCAAAAAGTCCTGTTCATGTGATAAACACCAAAAATATCAAAACTATTGTGTCTCTCAAAATCTGTTCTGATCTTGCATGCCTTTTTAACCCCYCAATATTATCCCCGTTCAAAGAATTAATAAACTTACTCAATGGTCATTGGCTCTTTGAATAAACCACAGCCTTCTAATGTCATTACACAGTTCTTCATATCTTCCTGGAGAGGATTACAGAAGGAGATCTCTGCAGTGCATGGTACTTTCAGTCTGGGTTGGCTCAGTAGCTAGTTAGAAAAGACACAAACATATTTTATGGTTTTTTTAATCTTTATAAATTATAATCTTAATAAATTAYGAGGTAAATAAATGCACCTAAAATTTTTAATGGATTGTTCATACCAATTTCTGATTCACTTCTATGATCTCTATACATTACTAAGTCTACTTTTTACTTTAAAAGTGACACTGATCTTGCTAAAATACGAAAATTGGCAATAAGATAAAAGTAAAATATTTCAAGTTTGTTGGCACTCTACTTAAGAAGTGGCCAATTAGAGTCCCCAAGTCTGTTTCTTGGATCAAAAATCCCATAATTAAAAGTTCCTTACCTTTACAATAACAGGTGGTCTGTTGACCACAATATCCCTGTTCACCATCAGAACATCTTCACACTCTGGGTCTGAGACAGCAACTACTTTCATAATGTTGTGGTCACAGAGATAAGGTCCATACTGATTATACGATATACACACTGGGATTTTTTTCACTGTAAAACAAATTTATTTAGATTTTTTTTTCTGAATTTTTGATTAATATTTCCACCTTCCTTCCTCCTAAAGTTTAAGTGCCGCAATGACTTAATTAAATATTATCACAACATCTTTGAAAATAGACAGGATTTTTCCTGAGTTAGGATGATACATTGCTATSTTCAGCAATCAGTTTCACAGTGTTCAATTCATCTATCAGTGGATTTGCAAGATTAGTTGTTTTATTAGTAGTAGTAGTAGTAATAAGCAAAACCTGGAAACTTTCATCCCAGTGCAATTTTTAAAGCAGTAATTCAAATATATTCAAATATCGGCAAATGAAAGCCTGGTAAAAAAGGAATTTTAATATCCGTRTGAAAGCTTGTCTTATATTGATGTGTTTAGTTAAAGGGATCTTCTTTCTTCCAGGAAAATATATTAACCATGGAAACAGGTGTTTATGCTCTGCTACACCTTTGTACTTCCCAGCATATGGTGTGTCTAGGTGCTCTAAGCAAGTGTTATACACTGGCTGATACCTTCTAGCCAAAGAAAACACTACTCTTCTGAGAAACAGTATCTTTGTATTGAGTATAGAGTCCAGAACTGATTTTTTTTTGGAAACAATTTTTTAAACTATCATAAGAATCTCTAAACCTTGAGAAATTAGGGAAAGACTACAATTTGTGTGTCACTATGTATGAAGTATTTGCACATTGACACTGTTGATTTTTGCGTGATCACCCTAAAGGGAATTCAGCTGTCGATATTCAACACTGCACACRGCACTTCCCACCAATATTAGGAAGTCTCCACAAATTCTAAAAACCAACTATCTCCTGAAAAGAACAGGGTATTAAACAATGTTTCCCTCTTACCTTCCCTTGGACCCAGTGTGACGTTCACACTGTCTTTCCAAAACTGATCCATTGGGCAACCGCTGTAGGTTATAATTTGTGCACTCAAATTGAACTTCAGGGTTTTGTTCTCATTACGTAAATTTTCAAGCAGCCAAAGCAGTTGGACATCTTCACCATACATTGGGCAGTTGGTCATCTTTAACCTCATGTTAATTCCAGAATCACTCAGAAATGGGTTTTTCAGAGAAGCTAACTCTATGTCGATGTGACAGTTGGAAGCRTTGCAATACCCTGGGTGAATTCTCCTGTAAGCCCGGTAATAGGCTTCTTTGTTTTTCACAGAACCTGTTGAAGAAGATACATGATAATGAATCTGCTGGAGGCACAAGAGCCCTATTATTATTCCACCCAAATAATAAAGATAACGAAATTTATTGCCTCTCCTTCCTGGRACCTAAAGTAGCAGGTTACTGTAGAACAAATGCACCAGACAATGAAATATGAGATTCAGCAGTCTGAATGCACAGAAGAAAATAAACATCTCAGGGGAAAAAAAAAAATTAAAACCTTATTTTACTTTTAAGTAGTTAAATTCAAAAGTGGTCATGCAAATCTCAAAGTGTATAGTTAGTACAAAACTCAAAATATAACTCTTTGTAAGGATAAGGGTGAATATGAGATGCTAACAGTGCTCTCAAAAGACAAAATACRCTATTAAAACAAAGAAACTATCAATTGTTTTCCAACCAACCAACAAAAAATAAACCAAAAAAAAAACCCATGGGGCTTGCAAGTGTACAATCAGCTGTGATCTACTATTCATTCCTTTATGCAGTTTTTCTGGTTGAATTCCTCTCTTCTACTGGAATATGAAAATCAGTACTCCATGACCCAAAGTAAGATAGCACAATATGCTAATAATACATAGTGTCAGTGATGAGAAGCATAGGAATGGTTCAAAGCCGTGCCAGGGAAGGTTTAGACCAGACATTAGGAACTATTTCTTTMTTGTGAGGCTGGTCAAACACTAGAACAGGCTTCCTAGAGATATGGTTGATGTGCCATGGTTGTCAGTGTCTTAAAAAGAAGTATTTAGTGGTATGTTTCAACTTTCAGTCAGTCCTGATGTGTGAGGCAGCCGGATGAGATAATATCTTATCCTATTCTATCCTATCCTATCCTATCCTATCCTATCCTATCCTATCCTATCCTATCCTATCCTATCCTATCCTATCCTATCCTATCCTATCCTATCCTGTCCTGTCCTGTCCTGTCCTGTCCTACCCTGTCCTGTCCCATCCTATGCTAAATAGATCTAATTAATATGCACTTTGAATCATCTAAGTCTATTTAGAAGTTTTAAAAAAGCTTTGAACAAAAAAGCAATGGCCTCTCTCTCAAAAAGATAAGACAATTTCACATTGTTCTTCATATTTTAACGAAGGAGAGACTACTTTGGTGCTTTTATATGATCAGCCTGTAAAATTTCCTCTAACCCATTTAATATGTTTTCTCCTTACCTAGTTCATATTTATAAGCTCCAGTGATATCTTCGAATTGCTCACTGCCAACCTTCTTGGTGATTATACRTTGTCCACATGGCCACGTGTCACAGAAAAATTTTGTTCTTTTGGCATTGTTTTGGGAAAGCCAACCAACATAGTTTGAATTTACTCGAGAAAACATATGATGACCATCATAATCCAAGTCCAGTTCCCCTTCCCTGATGCTTCGAACCCATGTAGGCCCACTGCAAGCTAAACCTAAAGCAGAGAACAAAAATGTTATTACAGTTGTAACCTCAGTAGTAGGGAAACTCAGCAGTTTAATCTGGGGAAAATTATTCCAACTACAGTGATAAGTTACCTCTGCCTGTTTCCAGAGGTGTTGGATCCAGACACTGCCAATCACCACAGCACTGATTTATGTCTCTGCGAGCCATCCAAGATTCATTCCAGCAGTGGTATCGCCTGTAGGATGAAGGAATATACAATTAAAGATGTCTCTTGGATTATCAAGTTTAATGCTTATCACAGAGGAAAACCATGTCAGAGATAATTTTTTCATCAGCTGAAGATTTTGTACGTCTTAACACAGTTAATTATGGTTGTGACAGGAGTGGATTTGTTTGGTTTACATCACTCAGACTGGAAACTTTTTCCAGAGCCCCACAGACCTGATTGCAAAACATGCTGCTTTTAGTTGATAACATACCAGCAAGGTTCTTTTGTTTAATAGGAATTGAAAGGTTTATAAGAATGAAGCCATCCRTTATAAGGAACAACAGGAGGACAACCTAGTTATCAACTAAATGATTATGACCAAAGATTACCGTCCATGATAAATTTCCCATGGTGTTTAATGGTATTTTGTTAATTCCTTTACACCTACAAAGTTTGATGRCCTTATATTTTTTCAGCTGAGAAGGATAAACAGGCAGTATGGATTCTCACAAGAGGTTTTGACTGTTTCATTTTTTTAAAATCTACAGTGAKCAGGCTGCCTTTTTAGTAATTTCATGGTTTTGAAATGCATTATTAGGAAACTATGATGAAGAGCATTACCCCACCAGAGAAAGAAATATACCAAAGAGAGACAGTGATCTGCTAGATTTTTGGCAGTCTTTCTATAATTTAATTTTTAAAAGAGCAAAAGAGTTTTATATTTTTCTTATTTACCAAAGCTTGTCTTTGCCACACAGGTTTTTACCCGTAGAGTCAAAAAGCTCATTGATACCAAGGGGATTCTCAAGTGAGCATGGAAAACAGAAGTTTGTGACAACACGGCTTGGAATTCCCAGACATCTCATCACTGTAAGAAAAAAAATATGAATGAGTCACTACAAATCATAATTAATCGGGCATATAATTTACTTATTTTATAAATAACTATCTTCTATTCTAATTTGCAATTATAGAAACACAATGGATAGGAGGCAATATTTGGGATGCAGTGATTCTGTCTTCAAAATTTCATTTTAGTTCTCGAAAAGCAGTCTGAAAAAATGCCTAGCAGGAATGAATGGTTTGTTACTCTTCAGACTTAAAAAAAACCCCAAAACCACAAAACCAGATCTGTTTTAAGTTCAGAAATCATTAACCTGATTCTGCATTAATAAAACACTATTTCAAAAAGGATGAACAGTATGATAGGTATAGATTTATCTATTGGACTTCAATTTGACTGTCTTCAATGTAGAAGCAGGTTCAATTAATAAATGATATAAAGTTGGATCTCAAACCTTCTGTCTGTAGATTTTAGTGCCCTATTATCTCATCTCTTTCATTAAAAGGAGAATATAGCCTGATGCTTTTGTGTTTTGGAGGAGGCATTGCTAGAGATATTTCTGTTCATAACTTAKTGGTTTCTCTCATCCTTCAAACATCACCCAAAGCATAAATTTTGGCTCCACAATGGTTAGATCCTTTAAAGGTCCCTTCCAAATCAAACTATTCTATGATTCAATGGTGCTACACTTGCTCTGTGTTTTATTAAAAGTTCCAGTATTGATAACTGCATAGTATAAAGGTCACAGAAAAGACAGAACTGCTTTTCTTGCTCTTCAGCCTGTATAGGAAAGCAATAGATTGGTAATAAACACTATATTAGGCGCATGAGTAAAATATTCAATTTTTTTTTTTCTAGTAAAATGCTTATGAGTAAAATTCTTCAAGTAGTTTTTAKGGTCAGAGGTTTTTGATCCTTGTTTTCTCTCTTCTTTTTTTGATAAACTAGGTAAGGGCAGAATGAAATATCATACCTGTGCACATTACTGAAGCAAGAGATCCACAGTACCCATATCTGACCGGCCTGCATCTGCCACTGTACCACTGCTGTAGAATAGGGACACTTCCATTCCAGGAAAATGGCTTTGTTCCTTTCAGRTAATCATTGTTTTCTGGAATCTTCATGATACTGTTAGTGGTATCGCTGCTTATCTAAGAAGAGAAAAGAAAAACAACATTTTCAAATAGCCGACCATGACTTGGCATTCCAAATACATCTGAAAATCATCAGAGATGAGYGTTACAAGTATATTTTCCTGTGAATCTGAGCACAGAAAGGATTTTCCCTGCTCCCCTACTGTGTTAGATTACAGTGCAGCTTGTCCTTCTATAATATAATGAAGCGTGACCTGATCTATTCAGAGGTCTCACACCCCCACAGATCTTACCATGTGATTCACCACCATGCTGACATGCACAGGGTCATTGCGCCAACAGTGGTCACGATCAGAGCCATGATGGTAACTTGCACCCATATCTAACATCTTCAAGCAGATATCCAGAATTCCATCTTCAAACTGAGGAAAAAAGATAACATAGGCATCATGTTATGATGACATGGATAAAGTACCTTCCTTGTCAATAATCCAGTCTTTTTTTTTATATCTTTTTTTTTTATATGAGTCTTTTCTTTCTTTTTCTTTTTCTTTTATATGAGCTGCCCTCTCTCCTCTCCTGCCCTTTTTTTTCTATTTTTCTTTTTTAAAATCAAGAACAGCTGCTAGTGGTCTGCATGGTGTTGTCTATCTGCCTGAAGAAAACCTAAGACAAAAACATGTCATTTTTACTTTTGTTTGACAATGGAGTAATTTTCATTCAGAAGCACAATATTTGTCTCACCTGTTCCCAGAACATTCTGCAGTTTCCMTCATCTTACTAGAGAAAACTTCATTCCAGTTGCTTGGGCTACAGTGAAATTCTCAGACAATTTGGTTTGTGTATGTGTAGTCTGAACTGATCCTAAAAATTTTGCACTACAAATAGAGTATTTATTTCTGAAAAAAATATGGATAGCACTTCATCTGTCAGTGTATGGATGACATCTATTTCTGAACAAGTCTTCAAAAAGTACCTGTCCATAGTGCCATGGTCGCGAGGTGATGTGCTTGTGAACTCCTTCATATAGTATTCCATGTTCATTCAGAACATATTCTTCTCTATGGGACTGATTGTCCATATATACAGGGTCATCTGGAAAAAATTAAGAGCTTTCATTCAGACAAAATATACTTTTCTAGCACTTSTCTATCTTCTCGTTCACTGAATCCCTCTTTCCTCTTTCCCTCTTACCAATTTTTGATTTATACTTTTAAGCATGTTGAAGGTTGTGGGCTCTTTAAGCACTCACAGACAATTCATTCCTACTTACAGCTAGATAATATCCTTTTAAGACTCTCCCTGCTGTAGAACACATGAATGGAAGAGCTTGCAATTTAYCTTTGCACTAAGCTGTTCTGCGAGTCAAACACTCAGCACGTAGAGTTCTGTATCTGATTTAGATCAAATCAGCACAGACTATGCAAATATTTGTCATGTAATAATTTTGGCAAGGTSCTACAGACTTCAGAATTGCTTGCTACCAGAGCCAGATCTACAGAATTTAATTTGTATTTGTACTATATTATTTTATGGTGATAATACAGTATTCAGAGAATTACAAAATGGTTGATGTTGGAAGGGACCTCTGGCAGTGATCTGGTTCAACCTCCAGCCAGTTTTCTAGGCCACATTCAAACAGTTTTTGAATTTCCCCAAGTATGAAAACTCCACCACCTCTCTGGGCAACCTATGCTAGTGCTCAGTCACTCTCACTATAAAAATGTGCTTCCTGCTCAACAGAGGAAATTTTCCAATGCTGTCAAGACATTGTAAAAGTTGTGGGAAAAAATTGTGCCTCACCCCTACTGCCAGTAAGAAAACAAATCAAAACATTAGCTTGAGACATTCTTGAACTTGGAGGAAAAAACAAAAAAAAACAAAAGTAAATCCCTCCTTGTTTCTCATTATTTCTGTGACTACATCTTTTCCTTACCAGCTAAATAATAAATATCTTCGACATTTTTACTCATCACTAGCTATTTTTCATAAAACTGATCATCACTAGAGTTCTTACCTGCACACCAAGGGTTAAAAAGGACATAAAAATCTCCAAGACATCGTTGATATGTGTGGCCATTAGATGTGATTTGCATATTGAGAATATAACGGCCAATGCAGACACCGGAGGGAGGAAACACACTGATACTGATGCATTTTGGCTGATGAATTTTGTAGGAAGCACTCCAGCACGTTTGATCCAGGCATCTGCCCATTGGGAAGGTGCATTTCGTCTCATTCGATTCACAGGGTCTGAGACCTTTTCAGGAAAATAAAAAACACTTCCATCAGACTAAACAAAGCACATGTAAAAGGCTGGTAATTTGCTTAGGCAGCATTTGCAAGGCGAAGCTCCCAAGGGTGGATTTCTTTTTCACTTGTCACTTCTGTAGCAAAGTGAGAAAACTTTACGTATTAGAACTGCCTRATTTAGGGTAAGGTAGTCTCTTCACATGGAACATGATTTGGTAGATTATGGGTATGAAAGAAGTCTTCAGAAGACTGTGGGAAATACTATTAACCAGCCAAGGTCTAGGAAAGACTACTGASTGCTTGGGAGTGACTACCTGTCTCCACGGTGAAAACAGCCTGGTCCAMGGAGTCATCCCATTCCCGATTTTGGAAGCGAGCATAAATGCTGAAGGCTTGCCCTCTCCTTATTATCTGTCTGTCAGTTCCGAAAAAATGGGTGTTATGTAGTTGGCAGTTGGAAGGACAGTTCAAGTCCACTTCTCCCAGCTCAATGACTGCAGGACAGAGAAAGAAACACAAAAGAAAAAAAACCCACATAATTAAGTTCCCATCTTTGACTGTGGATAAGATTAGGTTCAAGAGGAGACAGTGATGAAAGACAGAGATGGCTTTCAAAATTCATTCAAGACTTTGTTCAAAAGTCAGCAAGACTGAAATTGAGACATATATACATAAAAGTCTCTTTAAAAGTTTACCACTTTCCTAGCATGCAAATAGAAACTTGTCTAACTCTTTGATTTTTGAAGCTGTGATACAAGTTTCACTTGTCTTGTATAGTTTTACTATAGACTGAGTTTGTGACATTAATACTCAATGCTGAAGGACAATTTTAGTTTCTCTGCTTGAAAAATTGACTTTGCATTGTAATATTCTCTCCACACATTACAGCTTACTGTCTACAAACACTTAYTTTTCAACAACTGCTAGACAGCAAAGGTTTYRCAYATGCTATCATTTGAGWTGTTTAGRTTTKTTTTTTWAAAGAAATAAAATACTTAAGTAAATAGAATAAATAAAAATACTTGGTAGCAACTGTATGCATTTGAAAGCCTTAAGAGGCACTTTAAATGATGCATGAAAAGAAAACAACTATATATATAAATATCWACCCTAAACTTTAAATAATGTTAAATATGCATGCAAATGTCTCAGTCTGCACTCCAAAAGTCATAAAAAAAGTTTGCAGATATCTTTGAGGAACTTAATGGAAAAGGAAATATTCACGAATTGTGACATTTAAAAATGCTGACAATCTATCCCAGGTRCTGTGATTAGCTTGACAAAAATCTTGCTGATTCCCCCTTAGGCAACCTGCCTGCATATCAGTCGTTTCACAGGAGTAATTATGACACCGGTGCCAGAAGGATGGGTGGCAACATTCATCTTTACTTATTTGCATACAACTTTTTATTTTCAAAAGTTCTTCACTCTAATTGAAGACGATGGGAGTCACAGATTCTCAGCAGTTTTGGAAATTGGGTTTACAGATGTACAAAGTCTTGTATATTATTATAAAGTGTTAAGTTTGGTCCTGCTAAGCCTGTGGAAAGGTTTACAATGCAAGTTCTCTAACTACTTAGAGGGCACCATGTTGAATACAGAGTTAATATTTAAGGGAAAATATTTTTTCCCRTCAAGAATCAAGGGTGTATCCACATAAAGGGAGACTCATAGCTGAGCTCTTGGGATCAGGATACTTAACACAAACTAGTGGAGTTTCCCAGGATCACATCCTGAATGAAAGGATTATTTAAATCATAATTTAAATTATTGGATAGGGGGGGTGTGGAATAGGTAGGGAAGGGGCAAAAAAAAAAAAAACCCACAGCTTTTTTAATTTGTTTTCCTTGAATAAAAATGATCTCATTTCCCATCTACTTTAAATTTGGTAATGAATTGATCATCCAGATCTTCAACAGAGATCAGCAACAAATGCAGAACTGGGTGCTACCCATGTCAAAAATATGCACACTATCAACAATTAAAAAATACATGAGTCCATGACATCAGTATTGCTCATGTACAGAACATACCTGCTGACAAGAAAGAATGACAGAATTGAACTGAAAATCTCATGTCTTAATGAYAGTTGTCAACCGTAACACAAAGTATTCCGGTCAAACAGAAAGCACTTATAGCACACATGGCRAATTCCTGTGGTCAAGAACACTGAAAGAACCTGATCCTTGCCCGGCCTCTGGAGGCGTTTATAAACCAAGACAACTACTCTTCATCCACACAGTAATCCAGCTGAACTGGAACATCAGGGAGCTGAGATCTTATGTTTCCCAGGGGAGTTCTCTAAAGCCAGCCCACAGTTTGCTTATCAGATGTAAGCATTGCAACTGGATCACAAAGGAGCTAATGATTGCTTTCTTAAGCAACGGCAGCTCAGAAAAAAAAAATGAAAGGCAATTTAGTTTCATATTTCTGACCAATTTTCTGCCTCTGGTAGAAAATCAACCATSAATATCAGTCTTGGGATTTTCTCTATCAATTAATATTTTGCCTTCATYCAAGACAGAATACTTCAGAGATTCATTGGGAAATAATTGCTTCTAGCATGAGAATACCGAAACCTAGCACTTTGTACTTCATGCTGGAAATAAAATGTTCTATTTCATGCTATTTCTTATCCTCAGAATTAGCTGTTGTTCTACCAAATCTTCTCCAAAGCTCTCTTTTTCCTTCATAATATTTTTTTGTCAAAAGTGTTCTTTTTTCCTCTTTCTCACTAGTTCCACAAAGAACACCCAAACATACAAGTAATCCCCAGACTTGACGCCATACACAAAAACGTGCAATTTTTTAGGTCTGTACACATGATCATTTAATTATTTTTGCTTTCAGTCCTGATTTAAGGGATATTWAAGTTTCAAGACACTTACCTTCCATTTTTCTTCCACATATACTGGTATCTGAAGCACAATACTGGTATAGATAGCAGCTCCTCAGCAAGACACACTGCAAGGTCTGGCTGAGCTCCTCTGCGAACCAACCTAATTTCCTCTCAGTAACACTTATATTCAGAACTAAGAGGCCGTCACACGTGTTGCATCAACAAAATACCAGTTTTAAAAGAGGCCCCACCCATGTGTCTACTGATGCTCATAAATGATTCATTTTAACTTCCAGCATTATTAGGGAGAGTCCTGCGGCTGAAGGGAGGGAGAGATCTTGGTAGCTCACCTACAGCACAGAACTCTCAGTGTCCTACAGCTTGCCCTRTCTCAAAAATATTTTAAAGCCAGGATGAATGGTAACACATTTCAGGGTAAGCCATTATTTGTAGCCACCAAAGTWGCCATAACTTCAACACCTACTGTTTCCTTCTGGCTAGACATCTTCAGACAGCTAAGGAAAACAATAAGGAACACAAGACTAAAGCTGGATTTACACTCACAGAGTATGATAAGCAGTGGGCATTTTTATTGTAATATAAGCAGAAAGCCCAGCTTTYAGAAAGTCAGTATAGCACTCCCTGTAAGGGAAGATCAGGGCAATATGATCAGTTACAAACTTCTCCATKTAAATTGTAAAATATACAGAGGTCATGCACTAAATGTGTTGACAATAAAATTTAACCTAAAAATTACATAAGTTATTTATACTTTGTGTGTATTTATTTCTTAACATACAGTTTTGCAGCTTCTTAGTTTATTCCACCTCCCTTCCCCTGAAATTATAAAAACCATTTCCAACAATGTCTGTGAACAAAAATAATGTAAATACTTTATCAAAAAATTGTGCTGTTTTATTTAGGTTCCAGGCATATTTAATAAAATAAAACAAAACAACCACAACAGTGTTCTCTTTGCCTCTCAGTGATGAAGACTTTAGCCTGCAAATAGGAGACATGGATTGTAATTTCTTCTGGCAAAACCAGAATGAACATCTGCTACAGTTTCCTCCTATCCTTCTTATGCCTGTGTGCCAAGCTTTAATCAATAAGCTATCTTTTGAATCCCTCAAAGTTATTCTGTTTTGAATTAAAAAACCCTAACCCCAAAAAAACCCAAAAAACAAAACCAAAAAAAAAACCAAAACAAAAAACCCAGACAAACCAAAAAACCTAAACTCAAAAATCGTTCATTGATATAGAAAGATTCAGACATAATGACTGAAGTTCAGTGATTTGCATAGCTGCCTGGATTCTAGACAGTGCTTTAAGAAATCATGAAATGAAAAAGCTTAACTAACAGTGAAATAACTTAGTAAGCATAACCAAACAGCTCAGGTATTGTGAAATAACTTCACAGAAATTAAAGCAAAGAAAAAAATCAGCACATCAACAGCGGGTTTGGAAGAGAACAGTTAAAAAAATTTGTATGACTGATGCATATGAAAGTGAATGCAATATTCAATGTATTCATATTTTGAAAATTATAAATGTCTGGCTAGTCAGTAGACAGACATAAAGAAGTCTGAATCCTAAGTATTTCATTCATCTCATTTGTTCAAAAGATTTATTTTTCTTAGTATTTGTGATTTGACWATTAAAATTCAACTCACTAAAAAATGAAAATTTAAAAACAACTCTCTTTCCTCAGAAATAATTTAGCAGCCATACACACATAATCAACCTTCAGTTAACCTGCAAAATGGGAATGGTAGTGGTCAAGTCAGCCACCAGAGACCTGCCTACAAAAAGATGCTCATATTAGCATCCAGAGAACAGAGCAGAAAAGTACCAAAGTTGGTCACAGTTTCCAAGAATATATTAAAATCCCCTCAAATATATCTAGTTCAACCTTCTGACTAAAATATCTTGGTAAATAAAAGCCTGTGACAAATAAAAGAAAACAAACAAGCATCAGTAAGTGGCTGCACCTGTGGGTTCAAAGAAACTTCATTAAGCATTTAAAATAATGAAGACCTGAATCAGGAGCAGAACACTTTCTGTTTGGATATGAGTCACTGGCTTTAGTAACTATGCTTGCTTAGATCCTTGAAGCTGCTTTGGTGCCTATCTGTCTCTGCAGGATCATTATATARATGCCCAGCCCCAAAGCAAAGCCTCCCAGATACCTGAGTTCCTGCCTATCAGTGTCTGCAGAGCCATCCAATTGCTGCTGCCAGCTCGCAGCTATCAGACTGGTCCATCCTCTCACTCAGCACRAGTCTCATGCAGCTGAAATAAGAATCTTTAACAAGGCAGCAAATCACAGCATTCTGTCTCTCCTGGTGCATTCGGTCTACTCTTAYTCCTTTTGCCTACTAAGCCCTGTATCATATCCCTTGGATTTAGATTATCCATGCAACAGGGCCATCACTCCAAAGAAAGAGCCATGGGAGACTGAGCACAAACAGGAAACRCAGACACTGTTCAAAGAAAGGTTTTGCCTCTCGGTTTATGGCCTCTAAACTGCTGATGTGTCCCAGTYGCTGACTTCCAAGGCAGGTTGCTGGCATCTCTCCAAAGTGTCTCCTCCTGGACAGATGCAGTTCCCCTCCCTGCCTGACAGTGAGGCATGCCAAGCTGAGCTGATGATCCTTCRCTCCCAGCTGAGAGTGCTTTCCCCTCTGCCTCCATCTTTTTCCCTCACACTTTTCTCATCCTAGACACAAGCCTACAGTATCTTGCACATCTAACGTTCTCTGAAATGAAAGCAGATGAATCAGGCATATGAAATTATGTGCCCGATTCAGGCTTGAAAATTCGGCAAGATCGCATAATTATGAAGATTTGGGCACCTCCAGAATTCAAGCCATTTAGGTTATTAAGTTCCTTTAAAGATCTTGACTTTGGACTCTATGGAACTTCCAACAGTAAGACTGTACCTTAGTGTTCTTTTTAAATATTATTTGTGTTGCAATGGAGAGACCCATGATGCACACTTAAAAAATCAGATGTGGGCCCGCCAAGGGTAAAAAATCTCCATAGCTTTCAATTGCCCGTTAAGCCACCAGGAAAGGATGAGGATTGAAGAACAGGGCATTGCAATCACAGAAAGAGCACCTGTGAATGGCATTGATGCAGTTCCACTGCAGCACTGATATGTTTGGGAACAATAGAGAGGTTGCAGTAATCAAGCAACCAAGCAAGGAATCCTTTCAAGAAAAGGGTACACAAAATGACAGCTCAACAGGGGGGAAAGGAAGGAATCAGAAATTATGTGAACTGAGCTTAAAGTGTTTTGGTGAAAGTGTCATCTGCTGGAAAGCTGGGGTAGCTGCAGTTCTTAAAAAACATTTTTCAACTYACGCATGTGTCAAGAAGCAGCCCTAAAGTTAATTTTTTGTACTTGGTCATATAATTGTATASCTTTGATCACTGGATCTGGARCTGATCTTATAGCAATGACTGACAGCATAAAAAGTTACCTGTCAAGACAGGTMACTTTGAAATCATTAAGTGGCATCACTCTCTGCTCCTGAGAGTTCAGGAATATTAATGTCTAACATGGAAAGGGGACAGAGAAAAAAAAAAAATCAGATGCTACAGGTTGACTCTAAAATAAGCCCATTTGTTAGGAATCTACATCTGGCAYTTAGAAGCTTCATATTACAAGGGCYACCAGCTGGCAAACTAACATGAACTATGTCCCAGAACACACCCAGAGTTTCTTAAAATTCCTAAATTAATTCGCAATGAAGTTGCCTTTCATTAAAGAGCCTGAAAGCACAGGCAGGTACTCTGGTAAGTGTAAGCAAGTATTACAATACCATATTTATAGATGAATTAGGATAAAGAAATGCTSCAAATGAAATCTTAAATAAGAAGCCTGTGTGTTTTAAGATGTACATGGCAGCTTTGTCTTTCTAGAAGCTGGAGGAAATTAGTAGCATTAAATAATTACAGGTGGTTTCTTACACAACGAAACCACCAGTCTTTATACAAAGAAACCAAAAACTCCTTCAAGGAAGCTCCCATCCTATCCAAGCTGGGCCATCACTTTGAGTTCTGGTGGAGCTATTTGCTCTCTTGTCTAAGCCTTTTTACTGGGTTTCCATTAATTCTGTAAGCCACTTTGTGGTCCATGTAATAGGATGTTTCCTCAATATCTACAGTGCAGATGAGGAACACACACCTCTAACACTGCAGTATATGGAGAATGCAGAAAGGTCAATTACAGGACATGTACCTCAAACAGCGAGCAACGTCATTTGTGCTTAAGGCATATGGTYAACATATTTAGAACAGAACCTAGATAAAATGCGAACCCATGTACTTTAATAACAGTAGCAACAGTGACCGGGTTAGCTGAATAGAATAAAACCATTAAYATTACATAAGTTTTAATTAGAAGGTTTTAGTCAGAAGAAAMATTTTGTTTACCAAAAAAAASCAAAAGAARAAAAAACAAATCTCCTAACYTYKTTTCACAAACTGAAGCTGGAATTTATAGCTGAGTTATTTGCCAGGTAACCTCATCTGTACTGGAAGTTTGCTTTCAAATGAGCTGGTTTCCAACTGTATTTAAAATCGGAAGTGAAATAAGCTAGCACTACTGTAAATTCACACCTCAGCTCACTGAGCAGTAACTTTCCCACACAGAGAAACCTATAAATCACCCAGCCTGTGATTATAACCCACCAGTCTAACTGCCCCAACAATCCAGTAGATACCATGGATCTGTTACTTGCACAGGCAATGCTAATTGGAAAAGACTCAGTCTGAGCAGTGGGAGTTGAAAGAATTAAACAAGGTGAGACATTTACCAGATTGGATCATAGGAGATTTGAGGCTCTCTGGAAGAATGCAAATTGGCTCATATTCTGTTCTTTAATTTAAAGCTTCAACTTTCAATTTTTCAAACAAAAAGCTTGTTTTTTTTGTTTAAAAAGATAGATTTTTCTCCTCTAATGTTTTTTTTTGGTAGATGTTCATTTAAGATTTTGTTATATAGGAGTAGAGTTTAACATCTTGGGGCACWGGTCTAAAACATAGACCTCCCATCCCAACAAAAAAGTAAGTCTCAGGTACTGTTATTTACAATGTAAAGAGTTCCTGATTTAACCTGGGAACTATTTAATGTTAAAAGTAGAGATGAGGAATATTTTTCTTCCGACAAACWGAGTTCAATATCTGACTGATGTAACTTTCTCAAGATTT